CACAGGCCGCAAGATTGTGACCTGGCTGAAGTCGGACGCTCAACCGACTGCGCCACCCAGGCGCCCCTATAGTTTTTTTTAATGTTTATTTTGAGCAAGCGAGCGAGAGAGAGTGTGGGTGCATGAGCAGGGGAGGGGCAGAGAGAGAGATAGGGAGAGAATCCCAAGCAGGCTCCATGCTGTCAGTGCAGAGGCCCACTTGGGGCTTGATCCCATGAACTGTGAGACCATGACTTGAGCTGAAATCAAGAGTCAGACACTTAACTGACTGAGCCATCCACACGCCCCTAAATATAGAGTTTTTAAAAGAACCATTGGAGCAGGGGAGTTCAGATCTAATATAAGTAGGGGATGGAGAACTAGTGAAGATTTCTGAGGGGGTGAGGTGGTGGACATGGTGTTTAAGAGAGCAACTTGGCAGCCACGGCACGATGAGCTGGAGCAGCGGGAACTGGGGAGGGACACTCTGAGGTTCTAATTCCTCCTGACATGACAGAAGCTGAGCTGGACCTCTGGCAATGGGCATGCACGGGTGAGCACATTTCAGGAAGCAGGCCTCCAGACTCTGTGGATGTTTATATTAAGGAGACAGAGAGGACAAACTGGAGAGACAATGCCAAGGTTGTAGACTTGGGTGTCAAGAATTTGGTAGAATCCACTGACCCAGCAGGCAAGTGGTTATTGGGGGCCTACCAGGTGCTGGGCACGGTTGGACTCCGTCTCATTTTAAGTATCACAGAACTGCCTCCTGTCTCCAAGTTCCAACTGGAACTTCTCTCTTATAGGACCCTCTTAAGGACACCACAAGCTGACTGTAGTCACTTACATGAATTCAACTATACATGCTATTGTTTGCGTGACATGATAACATGGTCTTCTAAATGTAAGCCAATGTACATCTGGTGCTTAACCGAAAAAAACTGCAATCCATTCCACATTGAGCTCATTGAGAGACTGTAAATTCTGGATACTGTAGGGGTGAGTTAATGATTTAAGATTAATTTTGACTACCTACATTCTTCTGCCTTACTTGCGAAATTTACAACCTAACCACCCCATAAGATAAAATCTCCTGCTGTTTATGTTCATCATAGGGTATTGGGAGGCTGTTCGGCATAACAGTTAAGAACACGAACTCTGGAGACAAACCTCCAACGCTTACATCCAGCTCCTTTTAGTACTGCAAGACAATGAACAAGTTATTTAACTCTCTGTGCCTTGGTTTCCTTATCTGCAAAATGGACATAATAGCAATTTCCACCTATAATTTTGTTGGGAACAATGGTGCCTGGCACGTGATGAGTGCTATGTTGAATGTTTCCTATTTTATGAATCCTCATTTTATATGAGGAACCTGAGGTTTGTCAGGGTTAATTAATGAGCCAAAATAAGTCAAACTCGAGGCCGTTGAAGACACATATGGTCAGGGACAGGACTTGGTGGAAATGACTCTGGGTTGGAGCAGCATGTGTAATGGAAGAAGTCAAAAGGAAGGAAGGGCTCTGTGAGGGACAGAGCTTTAAAACTGTAATCTTTGGGGCACCTGAGTGGCTCAGTCGGTTGAGCGTCCAACTTTGACTTAGGTCTTGATCTCACTGTTTGTGAGTTCAAGCCCCAGCACTGGGCTCTCTGCTGTCAGCACAGAGCCTGCTTTGGATCCTCTGTCCCCCTTTCTCTCTGCCCCTCCCCATTCACACTCTCTATCTCTCAAAAATAAATACACATTAAAAAAAAAAAAAAAGGGTAAAAAAAAAGAAAACAACAAAAACAGCCCAAAAGAGAGGTGTCTAGCTGGCTCAGTCAGTAGAGCATGAAACTCTTGATCTCAGGGTCTGAGTTTGAGACCTAGGTTGGGTAGAGCTTACATTAAAAAAAAAAAAAAAAAGCCAAAAAACAAAAAAAAGCCCACACAAAAAAAGTCAAAAATAAATCTACATGTCCAACTATACAGGAATAGCCTAATAAATATATTATGTAGCAATTAGAAGACATTAAAGAACATTTAACAATATGAAGAAATACACTAAGCTAAAAAAGCAAAATACAAAATAAAACTGTACAGAGTGTGATCTCTATTCTGTTGATTTAAAAAGTTTCATTTCAGAGGCACCTGGTTGGCTCAGTCAGTTAAGCATCTGACTCTTGATTTCGCCTCAGGTCATGATCTCATGGTTTTTTAGTTCAAACCCCATGTCAGGCTTTGTGCTGACAGTGCAAAGCCTGTTTGGGATTCTCTCTCCCTCTTTCTGTTCCTTCCCTGTTCTCTGTCTCTCAAAATAAATAAACATAAAAAAGGGGTGCCTGGGTGGCGCAGTCGGTTAAGCGTCCAACTTCAGCCAGGTCACGATCTCGCGGTCCGTGAGTTCGAGCCCCGCGTCAGGCTCTGGGCTGATGGCTCGGAGCCTGGAGCCTGTTTCCGATTCTGTGTCTCCCTCTCTCTCTGCCCCTCCCCCGTTCATGCTCTGTCTCTCTCTGTCCCAAAAATAAAAATAAACGCTGAAAAAAAATTTAAAAAAAAAAAAAAAAAGAAGTTTCCTGAAGGGCTCCTGGGTGGCTCAGTTGGCTAAGTGTCCGACTTCAGCTCAGGTCATGATCTTGCAGGTATGTGAGTTTGAGCCCCACATTGGGCTCTGTGCTGACAGCTCAGAGCCTGGAGCCTGCTTCAGATCCTCTGTCCCCTGTCTCTCTGACCCTCACACCCTTCTCTCAAAAATAAATAGACATTAAAAAAAAGTCATAGGGGTGCCTGGGTGGTTCAGTTGGTTAAGTGTTCGACTCTTCTTTTTGGCTTCAGTCATGGTTGTGAGATAGAGCCCCAGGTCGGGCTCTGCTCTGAAAGTGTGGAGTCTGCTTGGGATTCTCTCTCTCCCTCTCTGTCTGCCCTCCTCCCCCCACTCATACTCTCTCTCTCAAAATAAATAAAAATAAACAAACAAACAAAAAGTCATAATAAAAAAGTCTCCGGCACCCATTTTAGAGGTAGGAGTGAAATGGAAGTGAATCAAGATAATCTTGGGGAATAGGGGTTCTGAAAGGTTGGCAATAATATTAAGAATAACAAACACGTATTGTACGTTTAGGAGGTGCCAACCAGTGTGCTAAGTTTTTACTATATTGATTTATAGATTATCTGCTTAAATTAAAAAAAATTTTTTTTACATTTATTTTTGTGCCATGAGGGAGATAGAGCACAAGTGGGGGAGGGGCAGAGAGAGAAGGAGGCACAGAATCCGAAGCAGGCTCCAGGCTCTGAGCCGTCATCACAGAGCCCGACGCGGGGCTAGAATTCACGGAGCGCAAGATCATGACCTGAGCCGAAGTTGGGAGCTTAATTAACCGACTGAGCCACCCAGGCGCCCCAAAGATTTTTTTAAAGTAATCTCTAAACCCAACGTGGGGCTCGAATTTACAACCCTGAGATTAAGAGTTTCATGCTCCACTGGCTCAGCCGGCCCTCAGCCTGTGATCTTTCTTACTACATTTGAGGGGCAAATGAAAAATTCCCAAGCAAGACATCTGTGTATTTATAACAGATGGGGTAGTATCAGGGAGGGGGGAAAAGGAAGAAACTGGAGAGGGGAGGAGATGCATTCATTTAACTGCTGTTTATTGAGGGCTGTGTGCATGCCAGGCACAGTGCTGGCATGGTGAACAGGCTGGACGGGGGACCAGTCTTAGTCTAGCAGGAGTAGGATCATTCACAGGTCAGGAAAGGGAGGAGCACAGCACACAGTGGGAAGGTGAGCTCTCAGAGGAGAGACATGTCTCCCTGTGACCTGGAAGAGGGCCTAAGATTCAGCTGACATCAACAATAAGGTGAGGAACTATCTATTTCAACTCTAAGATGAAATATAAGGAGGCAAGTTTGTTGGGCAAGATCTCAGGAGATAAGGGTGTGAACAAGTCTTACACGTTTTGGGTCATAAAACCCTTTGAGTATCTAACAAGAACTATGGATTCTCTCTCAGAAAAATGCACATTCGGGGCGCCTGGGTGGCGCAGTCGGTTAAGCGTCCGACTTCAGCCAGGTCACGATCTCGCGGTCCGTGAGTTGGAGCCCCGCATCAGGCTCTGGGCTGATGGCTCAGAGCCTGGAGCCTGTTTCCGATTCTGTGTCTCCCTCTCTCTCTGCTCCTCCCCCGTTCATGCTCTGTCTCTCTCTGTCCCAAAAATAAATAAACGTTGAAAAAAAAAAATTAAAAAAAAAAAAAAAAGAAAGAAAAATGCACATTCACCCAAGAAATGCTTGAGCTCCTGAGGTGTAGGTTATAGAACTATCTTTGAGGCAGTGGGTTAGGGGAGAGGTAATCCCCGCCACATTTCTCCCCAGTCCTTCAGCAAGTCTAAGAGATGAGCAGAGAGGGGCTTGGCCACCAGACCCGGAGATACCTGCAGATTTCCAGCCGAGGGAAATGCTCCTCTGCTTCTCGCCCCTCCCCCCAACACTCTCCTCACTTACGGCATCATGGGTCACTGACATGGGCCTGGGGTCCGGCTGGCAAGAGTTGAGGCTTCAGAGCTGGGCACAAAGTGGCAGTGTCCACAGCGACAGAACTCTTGCTTGTACCTTCTGATGGGCTTTAGTCTCCTCTAAGCCGGACCTGAAATACACTTCTGATGTAGAACCGGCAGGCTCTTTGCTTCCACTTTCATTTCACCAAAATCCCTGCCCTTCGGTGTTCACACGCCCCCAGCTGGTTTCCCCACCCCGGGGAGGAGCCTTTCTGGTCTGGGAAGTTGACTTCACCCAGATAGGAGGTCTCAGGGGAATCTACCCATAAACATAGGCAAACAGAATGTGGGCCCCAACCTACCACTCATTCTAACACAAGCCTTTTGGTAGAATAGTGTCTTTGTTATTTCCCTGGAACCTAGAAAGATGCCAGGCACACACAAATTAAGATTAATTGAATGAGAAAGGCAACCAGGATGGTTAAAGCCTTTCCACCAAATTCACAAGAGCTGTACTAATAGCCAGCATTTGTTGGGAGCTGTTCTGTGCCCAATACTGGATATGCTTTACATGAATTAACTTAATCTTTAAAACAACCCACAAAGTTGGTTCCATTTTTGCCATTTTACAGATGAGCTTGTAAACTTCAGAGGCAAAGTGCAGAAACTTGCTTAGAGGTCCTATTGCTAGGAAGCATGTATCTAAACCTGGTTAGAACAATACTTGAATTTGAGCCTTGAGGTTGAGTGGAAGGAACTTGGAAGTTTTAGGCAGAAGGCTTAAATTCAGTTTCATTTGTGACTGAGCAGGCAAGCTACTTAGAGGCGTCTGTCTCAAGAGAGATGTTCGATACTTAAAGGTGAAGAATCAAATGAAACTACATAGGACACAGTGCACGACGTTTCCTATTATCTAGTCCATGATATTTCCAGAGTAATTTACACTCAGCCCTTCTCAATCTCTTTCCCTACATCCCAGGGGGGATGTGTGCCAAGCGTAAGGCTTGGCAAATGTGCCTGTTTGAATCCTTCCATCTAGTGACAGAACCAACTCAAATGGAGAGCCTATTTTGCCAGTAAAACAGAGTCAACACTTAGGGTCCAATGAAAGGTAAAATGCCAAATAAAAGGACCAAATTATCTTTCCTGCAACTGTGGGGACATACCCATGCCCAAGACCCTTGAACCACACCTTTTCTTGTTGTTCTGCTAGCCAGGCCATTTGAGGACCTCTTCTAATCTCACTAACAATGGGTGCTCTAGAGGTCAGGCCTTCATTAGTCCCCACTGCTATCTAGAGCAGTTCTCCAGTGTGGGCCTCATCACAGCAGCACAGGGATCACGGGACAACCTGCTTGAAATTCTGACCTACTAACCCTCAAGAGTGGGACTTCAGCACCTTGTCATTGTTCAGAGAACCTCAGATTAGTGGCTCTCAATCCAAAGTAATCAGTGCCTGCTGAGAGGGGCCTGTGGGTGTTCACAATGGAGGGTGGAGGGAGGAGAGTGGCCCAGGTTCTCTATGTAGGTAACAGGTTGAAGCCAGGGATGCTAAACAACTCTGCACCTACACATCAGTAGTAGTCTTTTTTTGGGAAATCATTCAGTAGCTCACGCCTTACCCACCGAGGGCGGTCAGATGATTAAAGGATTATCAGGAGGACAGAAATAGTCCAAATCTCACAAAAGCGCTATTTTATATACTTTTCCACAGCTTCTCCTCTCACCCACCACCCAACGTCTTATCATATGAATGTTCTTCAGCAGTCTAATAATACATGCTACAAGCAGACAGTGATTTTTTTTTTTTTTTTTGGTATTTTTAATGACTGAAACAAAACAAACTTAAAACCGCAGCTTCTGGAAGAACCATTTGTTCTTGCCGGTCTTGTACCTAGACAGAAAGAAAAGGACACCAATGAGAACAGTGAAACTAAATTCCCTTCATGGAGGACATGGATACCATATTCCCAACATCCACTACCAAAGCTATTTACCTCTCCTCGAACTTGACCTTGGCCTCTCGTCGGGCCTTGCGTTTAAGAGCAGGGTCTCTGAAGACATCCTTGTTGACAACAGTTTTGTCCAAGGGGATATCCACAGAGTACCTGGGGACAACAGTGGGGAGGGAAGATCAGCCCACATGCGGCCAGGGCCGTCGCACAGCCTGGGACGTTGGGATGGCAGCGTCTGTCTCCACAGGAGCAATCCGCAAAAGCTGTGCCAAAGTCCTGATGATATTTTTTGGAAATTGCCAATTTAAAAAGACTCAAGCCATGAAAATACTTCACGTTTCATTCTCAACTTTCCAGTGACTATTTTTCTGGCTAAGGATTGTCACTTTAATCATGGTGGTTGGCCAGCTTCCTATTTGGAGCCATTTTATTTAGTGGTGTTCAAGTTGTGCCTGGGGAAGGGTTAGCCTCATTATGAGAATGCAAAAGCTAGGGGACTAGTTACCGAGGTCTGTTTCCCAGCACGTGAGAAACAGCAATGCCCTTTTAAGACAGCCCATTAAGAGTAAACATGCAGCCGCCGGTAGCAAACTGTAAGGCACTCACTGCTGGGTTTTGGCAATTATCGTTCAGGACTCTCTCAAATATTTTTATTTCCTTATAACCTATACACCAAGATAGCATGAATGGCACACAATACTGTGAACGGCCAGGAACTCAGGGGCTTGAGAGCCAAGTGGAATCAGCTGGGGGGAGGTTTGCTTTCCTTTATTTATCAACAATTTTTGAAAGCCTGTAAAAACTATCCTTGAAAGTGGAATAGTGGAAGACAGCAGGCCAGATCCCGTGCCTGTATTTATCGTGATTGCAAACAAATGCAGCAATCTTTACCTAACACTTCTAGGATTTTCAGGTGAGGAGACAGATCAGGAGCAAGCTTGGAAAAAGATTTTTCAATCCTGCTTGGCCCAGTCAGGGAAGTCACCACAGAAAATGACAGAACACAGCTCCACATTCAATTAAAGAGGCAACACTGGGGGGGGGGGGGGCGCTTGGGTGGCTCAGTCGGCCGAGTGTCCAACATCCGCTCAGGTCAGGATCTCACAGTTTGTGGGTTCGAGCCCCACGTCGGGCTCTGTGCTGACAGCTCAGAGCCTGGAGCCTGCTTCAGATTCTGTCTCTCTCTGCCTCTCTCCCACTTGTGCTCTCTCAAAAATAACATTAAAAAAAAAAAAGAGGCAGCACTTGAAACCATGACCACTTTGTAAGTCACACATGAAAATGTCTCTTCCCCACACTGGAATGGCTGCAAAGTTGAAAGCTGTCTCCTTATTCAGCAGGCCAGAGGGGAGAAAAGAAAGTCACTTTCTTTTTTTTTAATTTTTTTTTTTCAACGTTTATTTATTTTTGGGACAGAGAGAGACAGAGCATGAAGGGGGGAGGGGCAGAGAGAGAGGGAGTCACAGAATCAGAACCAGGCTCCAGGCTCTGAGCCATCAGCCCAGAGCCTGACGCGGGGCTCGAACTCACGGACCGCGAGATCGTGACCTGGCTGAAGTCGGACGCTTAACCGACTGCGCCACCCAGGCGCCCCAAGAAAGTCACTTTCATAACCATTCTTGATATGCTCACCTTGTGGGCATGAGGTGATTGTAGTTATAAACTTTCACAAAAGACTTGATCTTTGACCTCTTGGCGATTTTCTTCTTGCCCATGGCAGCTGTCACTTTGCGGGGATAGCGGTCAATTCCAGCCACCAGGGCGTGGCTGTAGGGACGGTCTGAGGTGCCATCATCGATGTTCTGAACAAGCAAGAATCACGTTAGTAATCGAGGGCCTACTGAGGCGCTGTGCTAAATCCAGGCCATGTATAAAAAGAATACCCCCACTCCCAATCTGAGACCCGCTACTGGAAAAACTGCGCAAAGCAGACATTCTGAGCGCTAGGCTAGATGCCCAAACAGTATTGGGTCGTATTCATTCCCACCAAGAATCTGGAAAGGCTTGTGGGAGCTAAGTGATTTAAAGCTAACAATAATTAGCATTTATGGAGTGTTTGCTTTCTATCAAGTACTGGTTCTTAGGACTTAACATCTCTTAACTTCTACAATTACATGGCCAGTTGGTGGTCTAACTCCAGAAACCAGTCTCAGACAGATGAGGGAAGGGAAACAAAGGGTGTCCCAGTGGTCCCACAACAACCAAAAGCAAGTGCTTGGCCAGAGCTTAGCAAAATCTCACAAGAGACCACAAAATGTAGGCAGAAGGCAAAGAACGGAGGGCTAGAATATGCTAAGTGATCGTTTTGCCTAGAAACAATTTCTCCTCTTTTTACAGAATCCCACCTGCAGCACTTAATGTTTTACTTCAGTTGAGTTACTTAACGTCTCCAGACACCAGCAGTAGAAAAGAATCCCCTACGGTTACAAGCACTGGGCATGACACCACCTGGAAAGCAGTGCCAGATACCAATCAAGCGCTCGATAAACGCCGGGCATTATTATATTTTAAAGCCTCTTTAATAGAGAACCCATTATATGTTAGGCGCCCAATTCAACTCACATCTGTTTGTATTTTGCATTTTTCTCTTTCAAGAGCCCCGATGCATTCACTCCCACCCAATGCTCAGTGACCAATGCCCCCAAGCTAGCTCTTGACTTCCACGCTTGCAGGCCTTCCGAAACCAGCCCCGTTCCTGGGATGTAGGCGCGCAGAGGCTCGCGAGGAGGGTACCTTCACGATGACCGCCTTGCGTCCGGAGTAGCGTCCGGCCAGGACCAGCACCACCTTCCCGGGTTTCATGAATTTGCCCATCTCTGCAGGGGGAAGAAGGGGCCGTTCAGAAACCTGCCAAGCCGAGGATGTGGGCCCAGAAGCCAAGGCTGCGCTCACTGCCGTCTCGGCCCAGGCCGCCCGCAGGCCCCTGATCGCAGGATAGGACCGCTACGAAGCCTCCGGAGACCGGGCAAAGGAAAGCGCCCGGCGCCACCCCGGATCTCGACCCCCAGGCCGCGGATGGCAGCGGATTGGAACATCCCGCCCAAGGTTCTACTCACCGACACCAGCTACTCGAGCCTACGGCAGAAAGGAAGAAAGCCCACTTCCGCTAACCTTTCACCTCGGGGAGAGTGACCTCACATCCGGTCCCGCCCCGCAAGTTTTGCCCCACCTCTTGAAATCCTTTACGGGCGGAAGAAGCTCGGGCGGGGAGAGCAGTACTTCGAAATT